AAAGAAAAATTAAATCGCAGCTCTGATGACTTTCTAGATATAATGAATGAAGAAAAACCCAAAGAAGTGAGTATTTAAATTTAAAGTGTTCAAAATGGAAGTAGTTCAATATAGATGTTATTATTATAGACATTTTTAATTATCGCAGTATTCAAATTCATACAATTGTCTGTATTAATACTCTTAATTGAATATTTTGAATTCGATTGAAATTTGACTGTATATAATTTGGTGAAATTATAATTCTTACTTACTTTAATGAAACATTTCTGTAAACGTTATCATGTAGAGGTGTGGAAATGTATTCAAAATAGAAATAGTTTAATGTATATAGTATATATGACAAAAACAGTTAAATTAAAACACTGACAAATAAATGCACTTGAATTAGACTGAAATAATATGGTTCATAATTGTTCTTCTTCAATAAAATCAAATAAACATATATCACATTAATGTTTTTCAACAGATGCCATTGAATAATGCCTGTAAAATTTATTTTTGTCAACTTACTTTACAGATGGAACCACCGCGCCGTCGCATACCTGAACTAAAACAACGTCCAAAATCTGGAAATTGGTCAAGTTTTCATGGCTCCATGTCCTCCTCACTAATTAAGAGTCAAGTACTCAATACTAGCTATCATGAAGCACTTTCCGCTGGTGGCACCACCCCAGACTCTGGCATTTCCACAAATGGTGATATGAAGGCTACAAGTAATGAGGCTTTAGATCGTAATGATCCTAAAGTGAAAAAAGAAGAAATGGATCGTCTTAACAAACAACTTAAAGTTTTTGCTAAAAAGCAAGAGCAATTATTGCGAGTAGCATTTTATTTGCTACTCAACATGGCGGAGAATGTAAAGCTAGAAGAGAAGATGAGACGTAAGAATATTGTTAAGATGCTCGTTAAAGCTCTAGATCGACAGAACATAGATTTGCTTATGTTAGTCACAACATTTCTAAAAAAACTTTCCATTGTTGGCGACAATAAAGATGATATGAGTGAATTGAATATAATTTCTAAATTGCCACGCCTATTTCAGTCTGGACACACAGATCTCGTACAAGTAACACTTAAGTTAGTCTTTAATTTATCCTTTGATGGTACAGTGCGTAGGAAAATGATTGCTGCAGGTTACTTGCCAATCTTAGTAATGTTCGTTAATGATGAGAAGCATCACGGAATTGCTGTTAAAATACTCTACCACATGAGTTTGGACGATAAGGTAACTTAATTATCTAAATATTACTATATGTACTATATATTGCAATTTTTTTTTTCTTGACTTAGGTCAAAGGTATGTTTACACATACTGAGTGCGTGCAGTTGGCCACAGATGCGATCATACTCAATCTCAATGTAAAAGTAGATCTCGATTTGATTGCGCTTTGCATTAATTTATCGCTGAACAAACGGAATGCACAAATTATGGTAGATGGAAATCGACTACATAGCCTGATGGATCGTGCTTTTAAATATCAGGATTCGTTATTGATGAAATTGTTACGAAATTTATCACAACATGAAACACTTCAACCATTGTTCATTGATTATGTTGGGGACTTAGCACGCATATTGACGATTTGCGACGAAGAGGCTTTTATTGTGGAATGCTTGGGCATTTTGGGCAATCTTTCATTAGCCGATCTTGATTACTCACAAATTTTACAAAACTTTGAGCTTATACCATGGATACGTAGCGCTTTAGCACCAGGTGCTAAATTGGATGATCTTGTCCTCGACACAATTGTTTACTTGGGCACATGTGCCAATGATGAACTCTGTGCACTTCTGTTTTGTCGTGCTAAAGTGGTGCTTTCACTGATTGAATTATTGAAGGCGAAACAAGAAGACGATGAAATTGTTTTACAGATTATTTATGTATTCCAACAAATATTACGTCATGAGAGCACACGTGAATACATGATTAAGGAGACTGAGTCACCAGCTTATCTTATTGATTTGATGCATGATAAGAATGCGGAAATACGTAAAGTTTGTGACTATTGTTTAGATATTATTGCTGTGAGTGATAGCGAATGGGCGAAAAGGATTAAGGTGAGCAATAGTATATTTTTCTCCAATATAAACTAAAATAATAATATTTTAACCAACTTTTTCTCGCAGCTTGAAAAATTCCGTAACCACAATTCACAATGGTTGTGTATGGTGGAATCACTGCAGGATCATGATAATGAACAAGATTATGCTGACAATGAAGAAGACGAAAACGAATTAAATACCTATTTGCATTCCGAATACTTAGACAACTGCGATTTATACAATAGCACAAATACAAATAAGGAGAGTGAAGACAATGACAGTAGTATTAATCCCGCAAGTCCAGCCATGTCCACATATAGTCGTCCAGTAAGCAGGTAAGTCTATTAAATAATATATCACTTTATTACACTTGATATAATCTATGAACTATTCTTCACTACCCAATTTAGCTATAGGCGCAGTCAAGATCTTGACGATCTGTATAATATGACATCTAGCTCCAAGTCTCAGGCGTCCAGTCAAGGTGACAATAATTACATGTTTAAATCGAATAAATCACTCGATGTCGAAGGACTACACGAAGGACTACACGAAGAGCTCTTAGTAGCTTAATTACATTAAAATTAATCGCTTATGCGCTTAGTTCAATTAACAGAAAAACGCTATCAAAGATATATACTATAAGCTTTGAGTAATTTTGTTGCCGCTTAAAGCTTTCATGAGCATTTTGTTTTGTATTCTAAAATGTTTTTTTTTAACAAATCAATAAAATAAATTCAATATAAATTAAAATTTTTAACAAAATATAATAAATTTTTAAAAAATATTTAACGAAAATGAAACTTAAAATAATTTTTGTATTTGTTTTTAAGCAAACAAAAAAAAAACAAAAAGAAACAAACAGCTTAGCGCACATTTAATTGTAATTTAATTTAATTAATAATTAATTTAGTACCAAAACTATCCCAAATACTAATCACAAATTAACATTTTGTTATAAATGAAGAACGAAGCTAGTCCTTTTTAATTTTAAATAATTTTATATGTGATATTTTGTGTTATCCTTAAACCACACAATTATAAAGTTTAAGCTTAATTTTAATGTGCAATAATGTTATTTGTTTTTAATATAAATTCTATGAGTTCATTTAATTTTTACACTACAATTAATACCAAAATGTGTTTCTGTATATAAAGACTATTTAATTTTCTATTAAATATATTTTATTTTAATTAATTTAATTTAATTTATTAGTAAAGCTTTAGCGAATTTAATGTTATTTATTTTGCATTAAATATATTTTTAAAAATTATATACATTTTACGAAAATATCTTTAATCATCCAAACCAATCATAATTGATCATTTATTAAAAAAAAATTTAATTATTTAAATATAACTTAAAAAAAATAAATGTTAGATTTATTGCAATATTATTTGAATTATTACGAATTGAAATTATAATCACAATGTAAATCAATTAGCAAACTAAAATCAGTTCAGACAAGTCAATAAAATGACTAATTAGAAAAATTGTATAATTTATAAAACTGTTTTTTGGTAGATGAAAAAAAAAACAAATAAAATTTGAAGTTTAACAAATGTCATATTTGTAAAACACATTACACATATAACAAAAAATACATATGCCATATGTTCAAATAAAGATACATAAATTAATATAATGCAATAAATGACTATACCAAACTAAAAACCGTTTTTTTTTATTTAAATATATGTTATTGATGAAATAAATATTATATTGAAAAGTGATAACTGTTACTTATTGTTTATATGTGTAGAGAAAAGTTTTGAGCCTCTGTCTTTAGTTATTTTAATAAATATTTTATATACAATCAGTAGAGAAATATAGTATTGATCAGTATCTGCCACTGTTGTGAAATGGATATTGAAAACGCCTGAGAACATTCTCTTTGAAAATCTAAAACTAAACAGCAGCAGACTTAACCATCTTGCGTGCGGACAATATATAGAACCACAACATCACCAATATATGCAATATATTTCCAATGATTTCGTTCATCGTTTCGCTAGTGCCAACACACAACAATCTGAGCTCTATCGATTTATGGTTCCGCCCCAAAAACGGTGACAAGCTTCTCTATTTGAATTCAAGCTTGGTTCAATTATTCCTACCCAACCCACCATTTATTATATTATCTTACTCACCTATTTAGTGCATTCCTATTTGTGTGCGTGTTGTCATACAATAACAACAAATCATAGAAGGTATTCACATTCCTTAAAATCCAAATTATCGAATATGTCAACTGGGGTAAACACAATAAACTACCTGAGTCGTAGTATATATTGTTGTTGGAGTGATAACCCTCGGAGATCTCCTCATATAGTCCCTTTTGGGAATAGTGAACGGTCTAACGATTGTTAAACTTCAGGAACGGCTCCGGGACTTTGTTGTTGTAACCCGCTAGGATCTGGAAAGCAGATAGCATAAAAGAATTTACAAGACGGATACATAGGTTACGATATGGATAATGTAGCTCCACTCCATAGCTCTACCGGGACGTAGATCCCTATTTGGAACCAAATATAAATTGTAATATTTGTCACTTAATAATACTCGTATGCAATAAAACAAGTATTTTAATCGTTAATTGAATGTTTAGCGGATTGTGTAAAACCAATATATACCCACGATAGCGATCCTTTTTATAAACGTTTAAAAAATGTTAGAATTTTATTGTTACCAAACTTTAGGCATACGCAGCTGTAATAATATTAATATCGTCCCAATTGCGCAATCTCTTTGGACATTATACAATCCTTATACTATTATTTTTAAATCTGGCTATACTTTGTGAAAAATAATTACGTGTCACAAAAATGTTATACGTGATATAGGTTCCTTTATGTTAAATAATATATACAAAATAATATATTTTTGGTTATCTATAAATAATTGACGTTGACTGTTAAAAGTAATTTAAACAAAATTTTATTTTTTATACGAAAAGCATGGTATACATTTATTACAAAATAGAAAAAAACAATTAACTTAAAAAATACAATATTGCGTATATAGTGTGTATCCATATATAAACTATATAAAAATAATACAGAAATATTTTTGTTTATAATCCTCTAAATAGTCCTGTTGTTAAAATAGGAATATATTTGCTTAAAATAAATAATTGGCAATAAAAATTAGTTAACATCTAAATTAAATAATACAACTAAATAAATAAATATACACAAAAAATATTTTTAAAAAGATTCATAAATTCACATATGAGATTTTTGATTTTATAAAGTAAATATTAGGCGCCGATTTCACAATCTTAACTTAAGTCTCAACACTGACATAAATCAACTATATGCTGACATAATCTATACTTAAGTCAGTATTTAGACTTAAATTACGACTGTCAACCAAGCGCTTATAGTTTTAAAATATATTTATTAGAGTGGCTAGTTCTTTTAAGTAGTGTTTTTGATTCGGCATAATGAACACAAAATGTTAAATTATAAAAAACTATATGAAAAATTATATCTAATCAGTGAAAGGAATATAGCTGCTACATAGATACATATAGATGTGACTAAACTTAAGGTTATGAAAATACCTTAGAAAATCATCTAATAAGTGTTAAGTTCATCAGTTCAATTTATATTTAAATTCACATTTCGATTTTAATGTAATTCTAACATTCCTCACTTCGCACACTTGGTACATATAACGCAACGCAAGCGCATTCCCAAACGTCTTTTGGAAATTTCTCTGGTTTATTAAAACTCCATTCTTTCGTATCCAAATCGTAACATTGAACGCCGCAAGTTGCACGGTTAAATTTTGGTTCCGAAAGCAAACCGCCAATGAAATAGATTTTACGTTGGACGGCTGCAATACCGCTGTGATGCTTGAGTGTAGGATTATTCGTCTCAATCGTCCATTCGTCGGTAGCAATGTTATAAACATCCATTGTTTCGGCAAGTGTTATCGCTTCCGTTTCTGGATTTTCATACCAACCACCACAAGCATAAATTAAACCATTTAAAGCAATGAGGGCATGATCAGCTCGTGGTGTTAACATTGGTGCTAATTTGTGCCATTTTTCCGTGTTACTATCGAACCGCCAAAATGTTTTCAGCACCAAGTGCTGATCAGTTCCACCTAAAATACAATTTATTAAATATTATAAATGAGATATATTATTTTTTCAAATATCCCACCTGATATATACAATTGATCTCCTATAACTACACCAGCGTGCTGACTCCTGTTCTCTTCCAGTATTGGCATATATTGCCAAGTATCAGTTACTGCATCATAACGTTCAACGTTTGATAATGGCCAACTTGGTTTCCACACACCATCACGGTTATTGTGATCGTTTGGTTCACAAACGCCACCAACCGCATAGAGATACCTATTGCCTATGGCATTCAATGAAAACCGACACCGATCGATTTGTATTGGAGCAATTGCATTCCATTCATCTTTGGTGGGACAATAACGGAAACCAAAAGGGTGGACATATTCTTTTAAATTGACATCGTATGCTCCACCAACGACATATAATTCGTTGCCTAAAACAGCAGTGCCAAAGTTGCCTGTGTGTGTGTACGATAAAAAAATACATTAGCTTTTAATTCTTTGAATTTATAATTCAAACCGTACTTACATTGATCAATATGTGGTATGGCCGTCAAAACTTCCCATTTGAGAGTCGATGGATTGTACCAATTAATTTGGTTCGTTATGCCATGCGTTTCAAAACCACCAATTTTCACCAAAGCCAATTCCAAGCCCCGTGAATTCAGTAAAACTCCTGAGGCTATAGCTTCATTGGGGATGTCAAAACTTGCTACTTGTGTTTGCTGTTCTTTATATTCTGCTAACATGGCCTTTATATATTGATCTTGCATAAAGGAAAACCCACTTTTCTCATTATCTGTTAACATTTTCATTTGCTTAATAATAGTATCCCAGCCTCCTACTTCGCTAAAGCGTATTTCAGAAAACAGACTCGCAGCAGGTTCAGCGTTCAGATTTGTTTTTCTGCAATATCCCAAAATAATCATCAGTACGCGTTTTTCGGTGCAGTTCACAGGATAATTACTCGATAGAATATATTTAACTTGTTCGAATTTTAATTGATAAAAGTCATCGAGTTCTGAGAATTCATTTAAATTCGAACATATAAAACGATAAATCTTGTTTTGAAGCTTATCTAATGAATATATATCAGCCAAAGAAGCTATGCAAGCAGAGTTCTCTAGATCGATGTCAGATTCGAGGTAATTGCAGCAGGCATCGATTACATCTTTCATTTGCACAAATATCGCTGCCGCAAGAACATCCTGTACATTTTCGTAATCGAGCACTAAATTCGATGTGTAAATAAAATTTATCAGCAATTCAATACCTCGAGCCGAAATTCCATGTATTTGTACTTTGGATTGTCGCGCTTCGAGCATGGCATCCGTGAACATAGCACGGAAGTAGTCGCTGCAAGCGGCTAGAACTACGCGATGTGCCTGAAATAGAATAATAATGATCGATAAGTAATATAATAGTAATGATAAAATAATTTAAAAGCTAAACAATAAACTAAAATAAACATGAAAACGATTTGTTAAGGATCATACCAAAAGCAATAAATGTGATATAAATAAAGAGCAATGGGATCTAAATTGTGATCCTAACTCAAACGTGCTTTTAAACTACAATTATTGGGACCAAAAGCTAACCTGAAAGCAAGCACATAGAAGATTGACAAGACATTGCAAAATAAGGTGGGATAAGAAAAGTAATATGGAGATGAGAAGTAAGTAGGGTAGAGTTCGAGATATTCAATCGTGATGGTGAAGGCATCTTGTCAAGACGACGAAGTGGAACCATAAATCAATAGGATCCAAATTTATGGGCGATGGTGATGTAAAGTAGAGCTGTAGTTAGGGCACTCATAGAGAATGGACGTATTTATCCATTAGAAGTAACAATTGAATTGAATGGGATCGACGTATGCAATGAGTAGTGAGGGCTCTAGTCATTTTGGCGTAAGTTCTTCTGTGTGGCACTTAAGGAGAAATCAAGTTGGATCATTTGATGATTAATAAAGATATAATGAATTTTTTGTAATTTTATTAAAATTGCTTACAAAATACTTAGGGCTAGTGGATACCATTTATTGCATAACTTAATGTGCAGCATTTACCCAACGTTTTTGTAATCAAAGATGTTAGTCATACGTACATTGGGTTATTTATTATAAAAAGCGCAGTTTTAAAAATAATTTATGTTTATTTGCAACTAATGTGATTAAACAACAAACATCATAAACCATTTTCGTTTTAAAATTAATGAGTAATTAAAAATAACCAGTTACAAACGGCAATATTACTAGTACTCCTGAAAAAAAGTCATACCAAAATATGCATCATGACTTTAAGAGATGGGTAGAAAAATGGTATGAGTGTATAAAAGTAACCCAAGATCTAGTGATAATCCAATATAATGAATATAAACTCGAAGTCACTCTCCAACGTTATGCTTATATATAGTAGCAGTTAATAGATGCTACGATCAGCATCGATTCCCATTTGACGATAAATCTGCCTTCTATGTTTCTCTTTTAATTTTTTCCTATGCTTGTTTATACTTGTTTTTATGTCCCAGATCCGCACTTCATCATTAGCTATTAGTCTCCACATAAACATTGTCTTTGCTTTGCTTAAATTCCTCAGGCATAGTTATAAAAATATTTCTCTAATTGCGTTTTTAGTCTAAGGTCACCAAACTCAACACCCAATGGAGAGCTTCTTAGACTTTTTTTATATAATTCGTGGAGATCTATATATCAGCAGACATAAAAGGAATAACAGATTTGAATACATAGATTAGAATATGGGATTTTTTGCGAATAATAACCAAATCAACAAGTCAAGACCAAAGTTCAATAGCTCTAAAATTTGTGTATGCATTAGGTTATGTGCACAGATAGGCCACATCATGTGGCATAGAACTGCAGTTAGAGCAACCATTGGGAATTGGAGTATTTATGCGTTACAAGTAACTGTTTAAAACATGACTATACCCTGACCTTAATGGCGCTAGGAACAGTTATTACTGCGGGTGAAGACCGTCTTTCTATCCTATAAATATCACGCAATGACCTGTTGAGACTTTGTTGCTGTGAAAAATTTTAAATTTGTGAAAATTGTTTCGAATAAATTACTGTATCTGTATGAAGAGCCATTATTGTATTCGACTTAACTGATATTAACTTTACTGCAAAAGGTGTCGATGTTTTCATGATACAAGAAAAGAGATCAACGTAAAATAAGAGATCTATTGATCGTATTATCATTGGGATAATCATTTATATGGTACGCAAGAAGTTCAATTCTAGTATATTCTTCGATAAGACATAGTTGAGGTTCCTAGCAGAATGCTATTTCTATCTGGAAGCGGGTGAAACTTTTAATAATTACCTAGCTTCGACACAGTTCAGTAAGATAGAATCATGGTAAGATTCCTGACCCCGTTTAATTAGTAATTCATCACAATACTAAGTATATTCTATTCTTAATACTATTGTCGCATTGTTTTGCACTACTAAATATTTTTCCTTGTCTTCCTCATTCATATTCACTCGTATAATATTGGAATTATCATATTTTAATTAGAGAACTACGCTCCATATTTATTACATACTTTAAATACAATACAATGAACAGAAGGTAGATTTTTTACCGACAGGTTCTGTTATTAGAAATATATTAAACCAGTTCAGTTTTGCGATATTATAATCTACATTATGTAGAGAAAATATATTGCTAATTAATCAGTTGCTTTATAAGAAAATAAACAAACTAAATAGAAAAACTAAAACAATCACAATTAGATATTTAATTGGTTATGCTAATATATGTCAATTATAAACGATCTATTAATTAACAGAAGAAATTTAAAGATCTCGTGTTTAGTTAAAATTAGCATAAATTCTCTTCTGGGAAAAAAGTAACTAACGGTTTAACAAAAGCCGGAAGCTGATTCGCCCAACTGAAATTATTTAAAATTACACATAATTTAAACAATTAAAATGAAAAAAAAAAAAACAAAAATATTAAACCAAAATAAAAATTATCAAATTTAGCACGAAACGAACTAAATTTAAAAAGAAATGAAGCACAAGTCTGAAACCGCGGTTTACGCTTCAATAGAAGATACACTGGCACGGCACGCAAACAAAACCCAATGTTACGAAATTTTCATTACAAAAAAGAAGCGATTTTTTTAAAAATTTTGGCAATCAGCTTTATGGAGTCTACTACAAACAACTCTCTAACAAAGCGATTAAATAATCAAAAAATTGGCACAACAACTTTAGACTATTGTAGGCACGCAGTCCTATTCATACCTACATACCTACATACATAGATACAGATTCACAGCACAGATGTGCTGACACCTAGTACCGACATTGTGTGGAGTAGAGATATGGAATTGAAAGCATATGCGATCACAATCAAACTGATAACGCAGAATAACATTTGTTTCTCTAATAATTATTATTATTTTTGTGATGTTTTGCATTTGAAATTCAGTTCATTCATTAGTCATGAATATAGAATCAATTCATATGAAAAACAAAAATGAATAATATCAAACATTTTGTTCAAAACCGAAAAATCCCCACAAATAATAGTATTTACAGTTAAATAAAAGTGATCGAAAGTTAATGAACCTCACTCTTCGGCATAATTATTGTTTATACTATATGAGAATCAAAAGCATTTTCAGTCATAAAATGCTTATTTGAATAAAACGGGAAAATGTTCTAATGGTAAAAAATGATATTATAGTGGTATTCACGATCGCGAGTACGAAGGTCGTTACTCAAGATAGTACGTAGTTTACCACAAGTAAGGTGTAATCATCGTTATGTTAGCTATGAGTACTTTTACTTAATAATAATGGTAATTATATTAACTCTGTGCAAATATGAGCACCTTTGGACTCCCGCAAAATCTCGTTGACACTATGCAAAAGTCAGTGATCATCGATACCTGTCATATCACCAGAAATTTCATTACCTTAATTCTCATATACAATATACAATATATTTTGTTTTAAACTAAGGCTTCCAAAATGTATTTTTTTTACCCATTAAGGAGAAATAAATAAATAGAAATAATATTAATAATAATAATTTTAGTTTAATAATAACTACCAGTATTTTTACTCATTACTAATAATAAAAAATAATAATAATTAACTCGTTAATAATAATATCTAGATATGTGTATATCTACTCGTTAATGATAATAAAATAATAAATAATTAAATACAAGTAATTTACTCGTTAATTATGTTACTCGTAATAAAAACTAACTACGGGTATATTTACTCGTTAATAATAATAATAATCAACTATGCGTACTCGTTAATGATAATACAATATTAATTAACTGCAAGCATTTTATTCTTAATTATGTTAACAATAATTAAATATGAGTATTTTTACTCATTGATAATAATACAATAAAAGAATTAACTGCGAGTATATTTACTCGTTAATAATAATTATGCGTATTTTTACTCCTCAATAATAATAACTAACTATACGTATATTTACTCGTTAATGATAATACAATAATATTATTTATAACTGCGAGCATTTTACTTTTAAATATGTTAACAATAATTAGATGAGTAATTTTACATGTTAAAAATAATACGATAACAAAAATTAACTACGAGTATATTTACTAGTTAATAGTATTAATAATATTAACTATGCGAATTTTTACTGGTTAATGATAATACAATAATATTAATCAACTATAACCATTTTACTCGTTAATTATTGTAACAATAATTAAATATGAGCCTTTCTACAATTTAATAATAAGACAATAATAAAAATTAACTACGAGGATGTTTACTCGTTGATAAAAATACAATAATAAAAAATAACTACAAGTATATTTACTCGTTAAAAATAATAGCAACTAACTTTGCGTATATTTACTCGTTAATCATATTACAATAATAATAATTAACTACAAGTAAATTTTTAAACGACAACCAGAACTTTTTTAGTAGTTTTTAGTATGTTTAAATGAACTAGTGTGAAGTAATTATTTTTATTATAATATTACAAACTTTATGACTAGTTTATTCACCTTAAAAGAGCGACCTTCCACCACCAAAGTTATATCGCACAATTGATCATTAGAACGAAGGGCATACAAGCCGCTCTGCAGAACTTCCGCCTGCTGAACTACGAGCTTGAAGTGATTGATATCTCCTTTGTGTCGGTCAGATATCGGTAATTTGCCATTCTTCGCTCTGCTCAGCACACAAACTTGTTTATCCATTCTTAACTTTATTAATTTTAGAAAGCGATCAGTTGTTATTGCTTTTGTTGGTATGCATGTGTGTTCGTATGCTTTGTTCGCCTGATTAAGAAACACACTTTGCTGTTACACTTCGCATTAAATATGTATTTAATTAGCAATAGTAATAGAAAGTTTAATAGAGAGAACACTTGGCAGTTTATAAATATAAAATTCAATAAAATGAATAAATTAAATTTGCATTGAATTCCAACAGCCTTTAACCTCAGCTATTGCATTCACATTCCACCATATGTTCTGACCGCGACGTTTTCTTAGGTTTTTTCTGTGGTGCAATACATTTTCATATTAATTAATTAGCACAAATCTTCGCGTTTAAGATACATGCAAAGCCACTTTGAAGTTTTACAGAATTTTTATTAATCAATTAAATTAATTAATTTTTAAATTGACTTTTTCAAGTTATTCACACACACTTTACATATAACAAATTTATTACTTTTATGTTACTGGATTCGACTTGTTTTATATAAAATATTTTATTATAAACTTCCTTGTGTAGAATGTCAAGTATTCTTTTTTTGTTTAAGTGCTTAAACTCTTAATTCTCTTCTTTATTACTGACACACTCCACTCACAACAAACTCACTAACCGATGTATAACAGAATACTGACAATTTAGGCCAACAATATTTTGACTAATAAAGTTGTTGGCATTTAAAAACAAATCGTGATAAAAGTGGAGAAAATGCACAATGTCAGATAAAAAGTGTTGCAATTTATTACTATTATTTTCTTTTTTTAAATTCTCTACATTACTTTAAATAAATTTATATATATATAGATTATTTTATTAAATTTTAAATGAATAAAAAAAAATTACTAATTTTACATTTAAGGTGACATTACCTATTATAATAAAGTGACGTGTCTCATGTTTCAAACTAGGTTTTTGAGCTGGTTATTTCGATATTAAGTCCCAGCTGAAACGTAGCCAAATAACGCTTAAAATAACATCATAAACTCGTTTAATCTTATTTACATTATAAGATTAACAGTAGATTTAAGCAATCATCGGGGTTTTCATTTTAATTTAGTTGTTACATTATCCGTAATTTTTTCTTTCAGAGTAGGAAAAAAATAACATTGAGTCTGATTAAAAGAAATTGGCAGTACTTTTAAAATATGTTGAATGCTTTTGTTTGAGATATATTTTTCGTTGAGTTGTGTACAATATGATATGATACGAGCAGCATGAGTTTCTAACAAATTTTCAGCGAACATTTATAATAGACTGATTTTTGTATATAGCCGCACAAAAAATTTAGACTTAAATTTTTTTGAGAATAAAACCTAATTCTGAGAATTTTAAGAGCATTATTGTTGCTTCACATGTTTCCTTTCGTAAGTTGAGAGTATTTTTTTTGCTACTCTAAAAGAAAAAATTACGGCGATTGTAGATTTAGAAACAAAAATCTTGTTTTAGTAAAGGTTAATAAAAAATTTGGTGTGAAATTAAAATTTTCTTACTGTGCAACGCTGCAAATGTCTTAATATCGTAATTTGTTTTACGATATTAAAATGATTGAAAATGAATTGTGAAAAACTTTTCAGAAATAAATACTGAAGAGCGAAATAAAGTGGTAAGTGACATTTTAATGTAAACAAACAACAGCTGAGCTGTAAACAAAATAAGTGCTTATGAAGTAAGTATTTAATAAAATCTTTGTTTTTATTAATTTAATATGGAATCGATATATAAAATGTATATAAATGATTTAATATACCAATTATATATAAAATTTTTTGTGTGATATATAATTAAGTGAAGTTTATAAAAGCTCTCATTATTTTGTGAACATTAATATAAATAAGCAAGTGTCTAAATAAGACAATGTGAATATATTATTAGTGGATGGTGTGAATAATATTGAAAAAACTTCTTACTCATGTAAGATATATATAAATATAATCTAGTCCATAAATTTCTAACGTACTGTACTTATTTTGACGTTACCAACATGACAAATAGAATTAATGAACTGTACCATTTCCCGGCATTTTTGTCGTTTGTGTGAAGAATTTTCATTTTAAAGTTGAGCGTCGTCTGTGGAGTTGCGTTAGATTTTAGGTTCGTAGTGTTATATATTTAATGCCATGAACACAGTAAGTAATTTAAAAGAATATGGAAGTGCGAACCCTGTTCGCATACCTTCTTCTATACCACGACAAAAATTTGAATGTAATTCCAACAATGTAAGAATGTTAATATTATATGTTTGTTAAATGTTTAAATTTATTTTGTTAATAGTTTAATAAATATCCACAAATTTATATACATTGCGAATTTGCTAATGTTTCATCAGCGAATTTGAGCGGTTATCGCAGCGTGTTGGTGCCTGTGCACGAAGGTGTCGTCAAACGCATTGTGCGCACATTTTTCGAAAATGGCTTCAGAGTCGCACTACAAGAAGCAACCAGCCCAGAAACTATAGAATTTAATCCTAATGTTGCGAAGGTAGCACAATATATATGTGATGCGTTAGACGCTGTTAATAGATATAAGCAAAAAATATTTCCTCATAAGCGGCGGCAGTTGGGTGTGAATGATATTGTAAACTTCACGGAAACGAGGTATAAGTTTACAAAATAAATAAAAATTAAATTTTATTGAAGTATTTATTATAGAGACTGGTGTCATGCAAATATACGTTGCATAGCCTGGCATCCGAATTGCTTCAAAATAGCTGTGGCAGGTGGTGACGATTCTGTGAGAATATACACTGAAAGTTTCGCTGAAATACCAGTTTTAAAGGTGATTATAAATTTATGAGTGTGTTGGCCGCATGCTATGTTATATTATTTTCTAACTCCCTTTTTTAATGTTATAGACGCATTATCAGAAAAGTGTGACGTCAATAGCGTGGCGACCATTTACAACTTCGGAACTAGCAGTTGGCTGCGATAGAGGTATATGTCTCTGGACCGTAGAAAGCAACGTGAATATAACACGTGCCACTTCCCAAGCCACACTACTGCAACAGTGAGTGTTATCAAAAATTTAATTAACAAATATATTATTTAATAATTTTGTTTTTTTGCTTACAGTCCTAAAAGCAGTCCTATTACTTCAATACAATGGAATTCTGACGGCACACTCATAGCAGCTTCCTCAATAGGTGATACAGATATACTGATATGGAATATGGATTCAATGCAATGTACTGCTTTAAAGTGTGTTGGGCCAACTTGTTCATTTATAAAATGGTCATCAGGTGACGCTTATCTTTTCGCTGCAACTTCAAGTAATATGTTTCGTGTGTGGTCTACGGAAAAGAAATGGACTGGCGAACGTTGGAATATTGTTTCTGGCACCGTACAATCTGCTTGCTGGTCACCATGCAGTAACTTTTTACTATTTATAACCACGGAAGAACCAATACTATACGAACTACAGTTTTATGAAGAACAAGTTTTTAAGTGTGAGTTTCAATTTCATTTATTACTTTATTGATATTTGGGCAGTAAAGTTTTGGTTTGTATTAAAAAAAAAATTTAGTATGAACTTAAATTTTTTATTGTTTTCGTTTGATTTCAATAATGCATAAAAGCAACTGCCCAGAGCAAATTTGGCATGTCCCAGGTGAATTGCAGCGTGAGCTCAGTTGCAAGTCGTATATGCAGCCAACAATTTATCTATATCTTTTATATAAAATTTATATTTTTTTACAATTTTATTAATTATTTATTCTCTTTAGCTGGCGGTACACCTACAGAAGCTGTGCCTGTTATTGATTTATCATCCATTGTTATTGATAATCGCGAAATAGGCGGTCAACCACAAGCGTTGGTTTGGGATCCAAAGGGTTTATACTTAGCTATTATGTTTAAGGATACGAATTGCGTAGCAATATATACAACCTCGTTTAAAACGTTTCAGCTGAGAGTATCACCATTGTGTTTTGTAAGTGGTGCGGGCTACGAATATCCTACATGCATAGCGTTTCAAAGTAAAAACAAGAAGAACTCTGAAACTATCTTAAATATTGGTTGGTCCAACGGGAGAATACAGTATGTGCCACTCACTGATGATATTATCTAACAAACGTTCATATATGCGATGCAATTAATGTACATAATACACTTTTTATTATTAACATTAAGATTATATATTGTTATTTCTTTTATACATTTAAGATATTTAAATAAAATTTAATGTCTAAAAATGTTGTTTTTTATGTGCAAATAGAAAAATTATTTATTAATTGTTGCAAAAATTTTGATGACTAATGAATTTTGAAAAAATTAATAAATAACTAAGCAAAGTGCTCTGCGGAGTAGTTTAAGGATTGTTAAATTATGTAAAAAAAAATTTTGACAAAATTTCTTTAAACATTTGTTAATTTATACTTAAATAACTAAATGTATATTCTCTACGACTACATAATAACATATGCAATGGCATAATGACAAAAGATACAATAATTAGCTTAAGGTAAATCACATTCACACAAGGATCACAAAATATAGACTACGATTAAAGAAATAAATTTAGGTCCACTGTTTCCATTTTTAATTGAAATGTTGATTTTTCAATGTTAGATATCACCAAAGAAGTAACCTAATGCCGTTGCAGCTTTGATACGCACGAAGTGGTTTTCATCCTTCAGCAGAATGGCAATTTTATTACCAACTGATTCTGTTTGCGCATTTCGTTCTGTTAAGAAATTGTGCAATATACCTAAAATAAAATGAAAAAGACAGTTTCATTATTTAATTATATAATATATATAATTTAATTCTTAGTAAATATAAATGATTGCATTAACTCTTAAACTGTGAAAAAAATTTAGGTAGAAACACATTGACACTTACACCTAAGCGTTATGACTTTACTAAATTGTACCCAGATGAGATCTACATATATAGCACGAGACATCAAAGGAATTACAAAATACGAAAGCATTGCTAAATATTCATTAATGAATCTGGTAATGACGCTTGTGAGAAAGCAATCCATCATAAGGTTTACGTGTATTTCCAAAATAGTGACCATAACGCTGGGTTCAATACCTTAACTGTCCATTGGGGTGTGCTAATATTTACAGACACTATATTCTTTCATTAAGCTCTAATAATAACTTTCATGTTCTCTTTTTCTCTCTTCGCAATTCTTTTAGTTTCACTGAGGAAAGTGAAAAATTCAAGCTGGAGTGACCTATTCGGGCACAATGATCAACTGACAGAGTCTCTTGATTTTATGGTGCTTTAAAATTAAGAAAAAAAAAAACTCTGTATAATAACTGCAATCTTGTGATGTAATTCTACCATTTAATATCGTTTTTCGTGTAATATTAAGATATATATAGTAGTTTCTCTCTAACTCAACGGAGTGAGCATTCAGTCTTTAAACTTTATTTCATTTAATTTTTTTAACTGATGAGGTTTATAACGTCACAGTTTAGGAACCAACCATATAAAGTACAATTTAAAATATAAATATATATTACCTATAACTATTGCCGCACTGCCACGTACTTCAGGCCATTGGCTACGTAATTTTGGTATGCACGAATCAATGAAATCTTGTATATGCTCGGGTAATTCTATAGCCTATTAATTTACATATTAGTATATATAATAACTTCATTATGTATATTGTTACTTACAATTAATTTAACAAAGTCTAATACAAATACACTATAGTTAAGTTGCCCGTGATCAATTAAATGCTTCTGTGCCATATCATTGACTTTGGTGGAATTGAGCAGGCCACAAACTTTACGTAGAGTACCTTTGCACGCCTTCAAATATAAATATAAGCATTAAATAAAACACTATATAGTAATATCAATATTTAACTTACTCTTATGATCGTCGCCTCTCCCTCACTCAAATGCAAAAGCAAAGGAAAGAAATTAGCGAACAATTGCTCACGTAAAGCTTCTGTCGAGGAATTGGGCGATACGCTACCGTCATTTAATGACATTTTAGACTCACAGAGATCACCAAAAAGTATAACGGCTGCCTCACGTATTTCAATTGAATAACTACCAAAGAAAGGACGTATACGAATCGCAAGAGAAACATGAAACGATTCCACACGATCACTGGGTAAAGCCTGCAATATACGTGAAAGTCCACGCATGCTCTCCAATGGTATATTGATTAGACAATCACTAAAAATACATAATATGGCTATTTAGTAAATATAAAAAATTATAGAGTGCATCTAACGTCATACCTAACAGTGTCATCTATGCCCTTTAAAAGTGCGGTTATAGCAGTCTCAGTGTGTTTCTCAATATCACGTTCAGTTAGATGTCCTACATAACCCAAACCTTGTATACTTAAGCCGCGTACAGTTGCATTTGGATCACTTAGTGCCGAAGTCAAGTGAGCCATTATAGTTGATGAGATGTCACCACATGGTTTAAGTGGCACTAAACGTGAATACAAGCCCACGGCTGCCACACGTTGTCCATCGTATGGTGATGAGACATATTTACTTAATGCATTGACCACCTGCTTCATAGCGCTAGAAGATACTTCCAATTGATTAACTAAACCTATAGCCATTGGAGTTAGTAATTCAATATAATTGGTTAAATCAGCGCTGGAACCAAGTTTTGTGTGTACTGTTAGAACTGTCGAGATTTGTTCCATACCCAGATTGTTTAGAAATGATTGAAATGTATCCAAAACAATTTGGCATGGATTTAGTTTTACGGAATCTTTATTGGGTACAAAACCGAATTTTGATTTTGTTGTATTGGTTGTGGCATTCGTATGCGATGAAGTTGTATTTGTTGGTGAAATACTGCGCTGACCTGTATGCATTGGTGGTGCAAGGTTTGTATAAGCAGCTAATGATGTGAGTAACATGGTAAATAGTTCCGGAAACTTTTTATTGAGTTCCTGATGAGAAAAAGATAATATTTTAGTTCTATAATTAAATTTTAAAATAAAATCATTGTTGATTACCTCCTTAATTTCTTTGCAAGGCAACATTTCTCTCAGTGCACAGAATATGGCAAATGGTTGCACGCTGGCAATTTTTTGACGTTCCGTTGGTGCTTCATTGGATTCGAAGAAGCAAGAGGATGTGAGTATTTGCAGAAAATCGTCAATAATTATACTAGTAAGTTCTGTATCAGAGCAGAGTAAATGCCAATATTCAATTATGTTCCTAAAAAGAAATCAAAAAGTGATTATAGATATAGTTGTTTGCAATTATTTATATATTTAACTATTATAGTCTCATGATTTATTTTTTTATAGAGAATACTTACTCTTCGTAGGGCAAATGTTGCTGTAGCATTTCTGCACAAACCAATTTCGGATGATGTTTGGTTAGGGCTACTAGTGCTTTAAGAACGCCTGACTTCGCACGATTCACTTCACAGTTTTGTAAAGCCTGAAATTTGAATTTTAATTGTATTTACTAAATATTTAAAATAAATATCTATATATAGATTTATATATATATATATTTAGTAATAATGTACGTAATGATCATTCAGACTTTATATTATATGCAGAAAATGAATATAAAAAATATAGTTAAATAGTATAGCCAGTGCTTTTCTCTCAGTGATAAAAGACTAAAGGAGTGTTTAGTTGCTTAGGAGTGATAAGAGATTTAAAATCCTTAGTAATAAAGGATTTTAAGGATGGTATGATGATATCGGATTTAATGAGTATCATCCGCATTTATCGGTACGGTTCTAAACTTACGTTCAATCTTACTTTAAAATATAATTTTTCGGTCACAAATTATTAAACTCGCTTAACAATCGCTTTTGATTAATTTACTTACCGCTAAACAGTCTTTAACTATATCAGGTATCGCATAGAACAAGTCAGAACCCTTTTGTTGTACAAAGAACTTAAGAACTACAGAAGCTCCAATTGATGAACTTTGTTCCGGATCACGTAAGCCGCGTAAAAGAGTTTGACTATAATAAAATCAAAAGATATTTTATTGTAAAATAATAATATTTTAAATTCACAAACCAAAATTGTAAATACTGAAAATTTGAAATACGCATAGCTATAGTTTTTGCTATATCTCCAGCCAAATTATATATCAATTTTGGATCATCGGTAATGATTTTCTCCTTAATAAGCTCAATCTCTTTTAGCCACGGACTTTCACTATCAGCAATCGTAAGAGTTTCGTATATACAAGATATTTCCAATGTTTTCTGTAATATGTCAACTGAAACCTGTCTAACAGTGCCATTTGAATCTATGCAACGTGGCACAATTTTGCCAAGCATTAGTCCAGTTTGATTAAATTTAGAAGGTGCTTCGCAGCCAATCTTCATGGATTTTATATAAACATCTAAAGTATGGTTAAAAACATGGCTGGAACAAATTCGTACTTCGGAATTTTTATCTCTTGTCCATGTTTCCAATATAAGTATAATTAAATCCAACGTAGCAGGTGATGGATCCATTTCAATAATAACTTTAACAAGTGCATTTAATTCAGGTAATGATTCGTTCAAATGCTTCGCTAGAAAACTATTCCGTTCATCCTCCTCCTGAGAATCAAATTTCATCTTCAAATTTTGTGCACATGAGAAAAAGTTCTTGCAGGCAATTTCGAATATAACACCACCATCAACTGATTCCGTATTATCATCGCCACCTAAGCAATATATTTATATTTTAGTTGTAAAGAACTTCCTATAATAAAAAAAGTTGCACTTACCTATGCGTATAAAGTCAGTGCCCAATTTGAGTATTGTGGGTAGCAATGGTAAATCATCGAATGGGGCCTCGATTGGTATACTGAAAACGGCTTCCATTATTTGCTTGCGATACTTTAATGGTTCGGTTAGTTCCTCTTTGATGGCGATAATTTGATTGCATGTGCTTAACAGTGTCTTCAATATAGCTGACATGAGTACCTGATCCTTTGTACCAGTAAGTTGTGCAATTAAAAAATTTAAGATGGTATCATCCAAATTCAATAGGCTTAACAATGGATCAGTTTCATCCATTATATGACCAAACGCTTTTATAACTAGCAAATTCGTTTTATAATTTTCCAATTCCTTGTGTGTATCTTTGATGAAATGCAAATTGCTAAAGAAACCAGTGGAGTGTTTGCGTCCGCCTATATGTGCTAATTCAGCAAGCTTTTTGATGAGATGCTGCAGGTGCACACGTGAAATATAGCCGAGCGCAAGTGCACAGGGCGCAATCTTTTCTTCGTACTCAGTATGCTTAGTATGCTTATCCAGTTTCTCTTGTTTAGCCGAGGTTATGATTAATTCTATTTTCGAGTGTATAGCTTGTACATCAGTCACGGAGCACAATCCTAAACCAATGCACTTGATTAGCATACCACGTTCAGCACTTAGATTTGGTATAACGAATTCATTGTTTGGTATTGTAATTGGGTACATAAGTAAATGGTCTGCCATTTTGTTAACCATGCGCTCAGCAAAAGTTTCATCATGTCCTTGTAGGAAATCAATAGTCTCTGTAATGAACTCCATCAATTTACCGAAGAAAAGTGACTCTTTATTAATACATAAAAGTAAATCGGAAATATGTTTGTCCCACAATGGACCCAGTGCTGGATTCAAATGCGGATAGTAATACTTCATAAAGGCTAAAATGTTCGTAGCACGTTTGATGTTGTGGTAGTTGCCCAGTAACGCTAAGCAACGTGCAAAAATTGTTTCCGCACACGGTACGATAATTTTTCCTTGTTTTATAATTGACGTATGTTTCGACGCAGCTGGTTCATCATCACCAGCATCTACTCTTTCCTCAGCTTCGTCAATATCCAGAGGCTCATATTCTATATGTGGTGATTTAGCAAATAGACTACTGAGACATTTAGTCAAATTCGAACAAATGTCAGTGTAGTCCAACAATACATAGTAATTCAGTAGTTCGCGTTTAAGTAGTTCATCCATGGTACCGGCGGTTGAAGATAGCATGAAAAGTGAGTTCTCACAGGATAGCACGAAGTTTGCATGTTCTTCAAGTGAGCCATGTTCTTGATTGACTTTGGAATATTTACAGCTGTAACGCGTAATGAACCACACAAATTCTTTCTGCTTGATGAAGGATTTCTGAGCCAGTGCCACAATTGTTTTTAGCAAAGTCATTTTCATCTTGACGCTTTTCTCTACAAGTATCATTTGCTTAAGGCAGTCTATGAAACCTTCCAGTTTACTTTCGATATTCACGGTAGAAGTATTCATTAGGTGAGTCAAAATAAGCAGTGATTTTATGCGTTCTCTTTCACTGTTATTTCGTAAATGCATAAGTAGTGTATCCATAATCTTCGTAGCATAAACGCTGGAGAGCAAATGAAAGCAACGTAAGACCTCGTAGTGTCCCTTTACTGTCTGCGGTTTCTCGTAGTCTGGATAAACGCAAACCAAGTCGAAGAGATTCGATATTAACTGTTCGGAAACATTGTCCAGTACATTGGGTTGTAATGAAATATTCGTTTTCAAAACAGATGACAAAAATTGTGTGACTGAGTTTCGTTCTATCGAGCGTCGATATAGCGCTAAAATTTGTGGTATTAAGCGTTGTGATTGATCCTGTATTTTGTCGGTCGGCAGCAGTGGATACATTGTGCATAATGCCTGCAATATTTCAACACAAACTTTTGGTTCTCTTGAATGCAACCATTGGTTGAAGAGCACATCGTATGCCACGGATATTTCTGTGGAACAATTATTAATAGCTTCTACATCATTTGCAACACCACCGTTCATGGTTATCGCACCAGTAGTGTGCAAAGTGGAGTGTTCCAACAATGCCTCACTAAATCGACCAATCGCTATTAAATAAATATATATATATATATATATACCTTAAAATAAATACTTAACTATTACAATATTTACCATATGCATGTGCTGTTTTTATGTGATCCGTTTTAATACCACCGAGATTTGGTAAAATAGAAGCTAGTATGGGCTTAATAAATGGCACTACAGCTTGTATATTCGCCGTAGCCAGCGAACCCAAGCATTGCATTACCATAAAATGACCTACTGCGCCTTCTTTGGTATGCGCCATTAAAGCTTCCATTACCATTTTACAGTCATCGCCACGTCCAATGGCTACTAGTATGGAAAGTGCGTGATTCTGTATGTTGGGCATGTGATCAGTGGAACGAGTCAGTTCTTCAATTGCTAAATCAATAAGTTTCTTGTGTGCTTCTGGCGGTACCAATACATTTGCACTGACAACACGTTCAATTGCTCTTTAAATATTTATTTTTATTAATTTAACATTAATTTATAATCTTTGACGTTGACACTTACTTTAGCAATATGATAACCGTTTGCTCTGGCATTTTAGGGTTTTTTTCTTTGTATTCAATTAATATATCTGTGGCACGCACTGGATGGGTTTCTAGTATTTTGACTAGTGCACTTTGTATGGCCAAACGAACAGTCTCATCTTTATCAGCTAAGCCTTCGAAAAGATTGTGTAGAACACCTAAAAATAAAAAATTCCGTTTAAGATGATTCCAATTTTAATTAGAGGAGAAAACTTTAATAAGACGGTATAAGCGTGTCCATTTTATACTGTTCGCAATCTCTCTCTCTTGGGTTTATACAGATACGATGCTCTTGCATATGACAAAGTCGCGAGAAAGTATGGACTAAACAGGGATTTACAATATCAAGAGAATCCACCATAAGCTTCAGCTGATGCTCTCTACTTTTTTGGAAATGGGTCGTTTCTTATATCTTCACAAAACCAGGCAGCTCTATCTACAAGTCTGGTCACTACATAAGACTTCAACATATGAGAGTTTATTTATATTTACTTGACGTATTCTTCTAATTTTTAAGGCAACCAAATAATGTTTAGAATTTTTAGAAACGGGTTGAAAATAAAAGCAGAACCAACCAGAATCTATTATTAAATAATGTTTTATTATTTGTTGGAGTTAGTGCAAATTTATATTTTTATAATCCTAACTTTAGAACCGTTAAAAATAATTTTTTTTAATTTCATATTGTTGTGTGCTTTTGTGTTAAGTCACAACTAATCACTTTTACTACGCTGACTATGTCCACACCAATCAATTCAGCCTTAATTTGGATAGAAATAACAAAGGATGGATGGTATAAGACTGTATAAATAGACTAACAAGCTGAGTAGATCAATATATGATGATAAGAAATCACCTCTCAATAAGGAACAACTAATACAAATAATTAAGTGTATTGGAGTTAGATAGCCAAATGAAAAAGGAAGAAAGAAAGACCACCTGATTATTATCTCATGAGGGAGTTACGCTAATACGATCTGTCAAAAACACTTTGTTGAGAAATACAGCTATTGCCAAATATTGTATTATTCAATATTAGTTCTTTCTACTATTACGTCCATAGCTGTCATTTTATATAGTACTTTTGTGTTTCATTGTTAATATTTATAATATCTGATTATATGTTGTTCAGGTTTTAACAAATAAAAACCTAAATTCCTTTTTGTTTTGTTTATAATAAATTAAGCAATGCATATTTCAAAAAAGCGTGTTATTTTATTTGAATAAAATAACTATTGCTACTATTTTTACGAGCATTGGTTGCCGTGACACAAAAACAAATGCGCAGCGGTTATGGGGTTAAGGGTCGTTATAATTTTTTGCTACCGGTTCGTTAATAGACTTCAGAAACACAAAAGACATCATTTACCGGTGAACTATGCGCCTGTCACACTTTTCTCCAGCAATTATGAAACTTTTTCTGATTCTAGGTTACTTACACAAAAGTGGAATGGAAGCCGTACAAGTAATCGAATTGGCCTACATTAGCACAGAAGCAACAAGTTTGTGGCTTTTACGAGTACATGGAAAAGTTGACAGAATATAAAACAAAAATAAAAAAAACTGGTTAACTTGAATTTTTCGAATTTTACGATTTTATGTTTGCTATCGAACGAGCGGAAAGGAGCGCGGTGCAAGGCAGGAAGGGAAAATGTTCAAGTTTGTTGCACATCAATTAAAAATGTTTTGTTTCAATTTTGCTATTTTTATTATTTTTTTTATTAATGAATTTTTAAAATATTTAAATGTTTTTATTATTCTCATCTTCTTGATTTTACCATCGAAATTCCATTGCACGAATATTCGCATTTGCAATGAACTTTTTGCTGAGCGCCTCGCTTCGAAATACAAATTTGGCACTACTTTCGCTATCAAATCGAACATTTCGAATTTCATTAATAAAATTAATTTTGAATTTAATTTATTGAAAAATTAAATTAATCTTGTTTTAATTTTTTTTAGCATCGCGTGCAATTGCTTTTCAATTCACTGCCTTCTGAACTGCAACTGAACAATAATAAAAATCTTGTGAATTATTTTTTTATTGCCTCTGGTTTCAGTACGCGGCTATCAAGAGTTAAATAATACCTGAGGGCGCCGGGCGAAACCAAAATACAAAGATAATATTTCTACTAGATTTTTACACTCGGTTTGTGGTAAATAAACAAACGTTTATTTTGGTTAATGTTTATTGCAGCTCAAAATAGTTTTACAATCATGGAGGAGCTTACGAGTAAACGCTTACGATTAGTATCTTTATGATATGAAAAAGCGAACACAAGAGTACAAAGCAGATTTCCAAATGTATCTGTAATGAAGTTAAGAATTTAAAAAAAAGAACAGCAGAAAACACCGATTGAAAAAACGATTCTCATTTTGATCTGGAACCAAAAGTAATACCATGGTGTACCGTTATGCTTCCGAAATCGTGCCAGAGTTGATAAATGATTGAATAGTCCCAATACTAGATACTCGTTTGCGTTGGGTGTTAGAGCACTGTTTTGTAGCATCAGTTTACATTGTTGAGGCCTGTGCTAGACTGAACCTTCACAAAGGGTTAGGTTAGATTATATTGACAATCAGTTTATTTGATCAACTTAGACCCTACGGGTCTACTGTGATACCACACAGGTAGGCGACCTTAACTGCTTTTATTTATGAATTCGTTTTGAAGCCTTACTAATGTGTAGTATATATTCATTCTTAGCATAGTTAGATGAGAAAAAATTGCTAATAGAAAACCTGGTTAACCTCATCAAAAAGATAGGTTTGTAGGAAGGGTTAAAATATTGGGTCTGCCTAAAAAGATATAAGGTTTCAAGGTGCATTATTTGTAACTGTCTGGCTTTGATCTGATAAATGATGAGAACATTTGAGCAGAGAGTTTTATTCTTATGTGTTATTAAAAGATTATGAAAGATTATGTGTCTTTTAATTGGAATTAAGCGTGGATTAAAAATAATTTGAAACCACACTTTTGGCGCTCTCTAAGTATTATTTTTAAGAAAATATAACTATTATTTTTTATTCCAGATAAGAGGAAGATATTGTCACTTAGCGTATGACATACTTCAAATATATAAGTTTTATCTATAAATCTATATTTAAAAAGATACTGCCACCTCTGCATCTTCTGAGATAAGATTTAATTTTTTTATAGTTTGGGGAAAAATACTCCCACCCTAAGTTGTCTATAATATGTCTCAAACTTTTATAAAATTAAGTGGAAAACATTTTTATCTCATCATCACTTCAATTATGCTTTCAATTTCAATTTAGTTTGGTTGAATATATTTTTACCTTAACGTTTATCTGATATCTTTTAAATGTGAGTGAAGTTTCACTATCAACACAATATGGCAATAAAAATTTAGTGCTATTAGAAAGCATAAACCGGTCAAACAAATATATTAATTATTTGTGTTTAATTAAGCGTTATTTCTGTGTATAGAAATAAGTAAAATAACATAACTGAATATGAAAAGTAAAGTTCAATTATGGATTTTTCGAACAAAGTTCTGGCAAAATTAATTATTATCAATTTCGTAGTCACTGACTGTTACGCTGATAACTGACACTGACATCGATTGCCATTAATTAATGCAAAAACTATTTATTAATTCCAACAAAATTATAGTTTCTATTAATAATAAAAGAATTGTTTTATTATTTTACATGTTGTTTTATAATTTTTTTTTTTTGGTTGATAAAAATAATTTTTTATGAATATTTCTACCTTGATTACTCACAATTAAAATAGTTTATAAAAAGTTCAGCAATTTGAATGAATCAAGTTAATTGACTATATATAAATATATTTATTAGAGTACAGTGATTTCTTACTTTTGCGTAATAAAATATATTACATATTATACAGTTTCAATATAAGGAATGTGACTCATTAATTGTAATAAAAGTTTATAAGCACGAACTCACATTTAAATAAAAATAACAATTTTTAAATTTACTTCGAGATATAAATGGCAATCACAAAAGTTACCCAAATAATTTTTAAGTTTTTATTTCTTATTTAAATTAAGAAAAAAATGTAGACATAATATCATGTTTTGGACTTAATATTCTAGAAGCGAGCCTTCAACACGTAGTTTTTCTTTGATCATTGATTAATCTACTTTTATTCTTCGGAGAGTTCGTTGAAATATAAATATTCTCTCAGTTTTTGTTGTAGCTATAAATATCAACTCAGTTTTTAAAAACATCGGGGCTGACTCTAGATATAACCTTTAATAGACTTATATTGTAATAATAGGTCAATTTGAAAGAGACCTAAGTTTATTAGTTTCACGACTAATACAAGAAGAAAGAAACAAACATTAGAAGTTTCCAAAGTAAGGATATTTTGAGATTTTAAATAAAAGTAGTTTCTCCAAATGTTAGAAAAAGTTACTTTTTTTGTTTAACATAGGTTAGATAACCTTAGATTAATCTGACTGGCTATAAGCACCGCATACACCTTTCGGTTACTAGTGATACCAGATAGAGTTATGACTCCATGTAAATTTTGTAGAATACATTCACACAAATTTAAATAAGTGTTTAAAGCACTATTCCTCAAACAGAGTCACCAAACTTTTTTTAACTAGTTTTTAAAGCGTGTTTTTAGATCACATTTTACTGGGATTTAAACCCAATAACTGTATACCATAGATTGGTCCAGTAAATACATATCGTGCCAACAGATATTAAATATTTTAAAAATGTGCTATCAAGAAACTAGCTTTTTTAAAAATTAAAAGTGTTATTAGATTATGTTTTGACCATAATTAAATATTTAAAATATGTGCTTTCAGGAAACCACCTTTTGCAAAAACTAAGTGTTATTAGATATTGTTTCGCAGAGTTACGATTGAACGCTGTCCAAATTGTCTAAATATCGTTCACCACCCACTGTATGATTTGTCTATGATACATTATATTTCACCATTACAAAATTATATTATTATTATTAAGAAGTATATTTATGTATTACTACCCTTAGTTCCTGACTCCAGATCTCATTTAGTTTAGGTTACATAAAGATATTGGATTCGTTTTCTGATAATCGCAAAACTAGCACAGATAAAATAGGTGGATCTTTCATTCTATATGTATATTGCAGACTCTGCAGCAGCGTGTCCAATTAAGAAACCACTGATTA